GTGTAATCCCATTCAATAGTAATACTTTTGGAGCAAATATGTGACCCAGATTTATAAAACAACTTGTGGGGATTAATATTGAAATATATAATGCACGAAATTTATAATACAGTATGAAAATGTGGCTGAATATATACAGGAATATTTTAATGTATGGCTTTCTACAGTCTGGTGTAAGGTTAGTCTATGAATTTGGTTATTTTGTAATGGCTGGATTATGCCTAAGTCTGCATGCTTTTTACGATGGCCCACAAGGGACACACTGCAAACAAAAAGAAACGCTGCAAACAAAAAAGAAATGCTGCAAACAAAAAAGAAATGCTGCAAACAAATAAGAAATGCTGCAAACAAAAAAAGAAATGCTGCAAACAAAAAAGAAAACGCGCTGCAAACAAAAAGAAAACGCGTTGCAAACAAAAAAGTAAACGCGCTGCAAACAAGAAAGAAACGCGCTGCAAACAAAAACAGAAACGCTGCAAACAAAAAAGAAAACGCACTGCAAACAAAACAGAAACGCTGCAAACAAAAAAGGAAACACTGCAAACAAGTAATGAAAGCGTGAGGGCGCATTTCATATTCATGACAAGTCTGAGAGGGAATTGGTTTTCAAAAATGGCGACTTTATAGTAGGAGAGAGCAAACTAGTCCTAAATTAAAACTGAGATCAAGAAGTAAAAGTGATGCATTATTGTAGATCTTGTGGTATAGAGCTGTCTACAACAAGTGTTTGTGAAAAATGTGCTTTTGATATGGATGTCAACAAGGCAATAACAAATTATTTTCATCGAGGATATCCTTATCAAGTTATTGTCAGCATCTTAGATAAGCAAATGGGCATTACAATGTGTGTTAGAACCCTTAAAAGAAGACTTCAAAACCTTGGTTTAAGACGTAAAGGTAATGTTCAAGGAACAGACGAAGAGCGACTCAAAGCTGTAGTTCAGGAAGAAATGAAAGGACCCGGAATATTAGCTGGTTACAGAACCATTTGGCATGCACTGCGATTACGTCATGGTATTCATGTACCACGCAGTCTAGTTGCACAAATTATGAAACGGATAGACCCTGCTGGTGTTGAGTTGAGGAAAAAACGACATCTAGATGTCGTACTTTTTTTTCTCCCGGTCCCAATGCCTCCTGGCACATAGATGGTAAGTAGTGTGGCAAATTTAAAAGCTATGTATCATCTTACCTTAAACCTGTACATAGGATGATACTAATATTAACTTTCAGTTTTTGTTTTCTTTATTAAAAGGGTATGACAAGCTCAAGCCATATGGTTTTCCTATTCATGGGGCCATCGATGGGTTTAGTAGGCGGATACTATGGCTTGATGTTGTCAAGTCGAACAATAATCCAAGAGTACCAGGTAAACTGTTTCTAGAATATGTCAAAGAAGTTGGTGGTTGCCCTCTGTTACTTGTTTCAGACTGTGGGACAGAAAATGGTGTTGCAGCAGCTATGCAATGCACTTTTCGTTCTGGTAGTCTAGATGATCAAGCTGGAGAGAGTTCTCATAGGTACTGCTCATCACCAGCTAATCAACGTATAGAAGGATGGTGGTCATTTTTAAGGCACAATCGATCTAGTTGGTGGATGGATTTATTCAAGGATATGGTAGAACATGGAACCTTGCATCTAGGAAATATTCTTTACATGGAGTGTTTATGGTTCTGTTTTGCAAAGATTTTACAAGATGATTTGAACAAAGTAAGAGATCATTGGAATAGTCACAGAATAACAAAGTCAAGGCACAGCACAGTTGAAGGTGTTCCAGATGTTATGTATTACCTGCCAGAGTACTACAGCATGGAGGAGTGTTTAAATCCCTGTCTCTTATACACATCTAGATGTGTATAAGAGACAGATGTACTACAGCATGGAGGAGTGTTTAAATCCTGTATCAATTCAACAAACAATTGAAATGGAGCAGCATTGTGAACTTGTTGAAGAGGAAAGTGAATATCAAGAATATTTTGAGTTCATTATGGATATTGAGGGTTTAAATTACCCATCCACTGTAGAGGAAGCTCTGCAGTTTTTTCAAAGAGTTACTGACCTAAATTGAACATTTACCTCTTTGCAAAAGCACTATGGTAATTTTACATGTACCGGTATTATTGATTTTGTGGAGTCTTTTCAAATAAAAGCCAGCTTTTTCTCATCCATTTAACTCGCAATAGTGTGCTTATTGACTACACTTCACGCATTTTAAGACAAAGCACTGTTTATTCAAAATATCTACAGAACTAGTAGAAACTGTAACAATCAAATCCTTTTTAACTGTTAGGCCTAATCCACATTACATATCAATCAAATACTGTATAATAGTATGGTTGAATTTAGATTGTCCTATAGGCAATCTTAGATGAATGTAATCTTTGACAAGAAATTGAATTAAGAATTGGCACATAGAAAGAATATAGGCCTTGCACAATACTGTATATGGTAGTCCTATAACATTATATGCATGTAAAACTGTAACAACGCTGTGTAAAAAATTTTAAAATAAGTTTTTCAAAAACATTTTTAAACATCCAACATTAAACATTATATATTTTTTTCTCTAAGTACAAAATTAAGAGCTGATTTAAAACTCTAGTGGGACATGTTTTTCGAAAGTTTGTGACAGTAATTAATGATTTTTAATTCACATTATTATTATCCTTGAGAGAATTGGCACATGGAAAGCATTTAGGCCTATATGGTAGTCCTATAACATTATATGCATGTAAAACTGCAACATTGCTGTGTTAAAGTTCTAAATCTAAAATAAAAGTTTTTCTTCAAAAATATTTTTAAACATCCAACAGCAAACATTATAACATTTTTTCCCCAAGTACAAAACTAAGAACTGATTTAAAACACTAGTGGGGCATGTTTTTCCAGTGTTTGTGGCAGCATTAATGATTTTTAATTCACATTATTATTATCCTTAAGATAATTGGCACATACTGTAGAAAGCATTTAGGCCTTGCATGGTAGTCCTATAACATTATATGCATGTAAAACTGTAACAATGCGTGTTAAAATTCTAAATTAGTTTTTCTTCAAAAACATTTTTAAATATCCAACATTATAATTTTTTTTTTCTCTAAGTACAAAACTAAGAACTGATTTAAAACACTAGTGGGATATGTTTTTCCAATGGTTGGCGACAGTAATTAATAATTAATGATTTTTAAGTCACACTATCATTATTCTTGAAGTGTGATCTATAAAGCTTCAGGTCTCATTTGAAACTACACTACAGCACCTAGAAACCAATCTAAATATGTTCCTCAGTGCAATGCTGTGCAATTTCCCTGCAACTTGTCATGCAATGCCAGTTAAAAGACAGTTTAAGAAGCACTGCCTTAATGTTTGTGGCTGTAACTTGTTGCAATTACAATATAAAAAATAAGAGAACATAGGTATAATATCCTTATAAACTGTAACAATGTTATGTTAAAATTCTAAAAGTTTTTCATCAAAAACATCCAACATGAAAGTGCTGCTGTAAGTACAAAACTAAGAACTAATTAAAAACACTATGGCAGGTTGTACCTATGCTTGACGCTAATTAATGATTTTTTTTTAAAATTCACATTATTATCCATGAAGTGTGATCACTAGAGTTTCACATAACATTTGAAACTGATTGCAGCATCTAGACATCAATTTAAAAGATGTTGCTATTTCCCTAAAAATTGTCATGCAATGCCAGTTGAAAGACAGGTTGCCAAAGAATTGACCAATGTAACAAGCATTGTCTTAATCTTTGTTGCAAGTATTTTCACCCAAATCCTGCCCAAGCACAGGAAGCCCAACAACCCAATTTCACTAAAACCTGTAGTAGCTGAGGTGTAATACTATATTAAAATTAACATTGAAAGGAACCAGGCATTACAACAGCTCAAACAATTCCAAACTCCCAAGAAGCACTGTGCCTTAAAACACTGCTAAACTCTTCAGATAATTCATTATATCCCTGGTATGTCTCTGGAATAATTAAAACACATCCACACGTGTGTGCTAATGGTCTTCTTGCAGCCCCTTCTAGCTTACAAAAATCCACTTTGATACTGTCAACAGTGAGGTAGTTACTCCCAGTAACAAACTGCAGAAAAACACCTAAAAGATAAGGAGAGTGTTTATCAATAATAGAACTAAAATAAATTAAATAGAAAAAAAAACTCAAGAAAAAAAAGAAGAAAACATTTAGGCCTTGAAAAAACAGTTACTAATGCAAACAACAATGTGTAATATTAATAAGGAAACACACTCAACACCACACACATGCAAAAAGAAAAACCCAAAAATCTAATAGGTGAATAAGTAAATAAAGTGAATAAATAGTTATTTTTTCCTTTAATAACATATTAATAATTATAATTATGATTTATATATAAAAAATAATATAAAATATTGAAGAAAAGGTAATATTAATAAATAATAATAATATTAATAAATTATAAAGATAATTTATAGTAATTATAACAATAAGTAACCATTAATTTGATGGCACTCACCATAACTAAAATTTTTATACAATGTTTAAGACATGTTGACTGTGTGTGTGTTTTTTTTTAGAGCTAGTACAGTACTTGAATGTCAGAATGAGAAAAAAACAAGCAATTTTTTGTTACTGTAGATGGTTTTTTGAATTTTGTTAGATTGCATGGTTTAAAATTTCCTGTTATTTTTTACTTTACTTCCATCAATGTTTTGATCTGGTTGGAGAAACTATTGCATATTTGTTGTTTTTGTATTCAAAGAAACTGCCCAAGTTGGCTATAAGTCAGAGCAAAAAAAAATTCTATAACAAAAGCTTTCATGGCTTAAAGGTCTTTGCAAAGCTTTGGCTGTCTCTAATATTTTGGCCAATTTAACAAAATTTGAAAAATCTTCCAAAGAAAGTCAGTGTCTTTGCTAATCTTTATTCTAACCCCTTCATTTGCACTAACATAATATTTTAGGTGACTACATACCTAAAGTGTTGTCGTCTAGGGACTTCACAAATCTCTTCAAATGATCAAAACATTCATTTTGTCTTTCACTAGTAGGTGCTGCAGACAATATCTTGGAAACTTTCTTAGGCGACGGCTTTTTCTCCAGATA